GCAGTAGAACGATCAGTACAAAAAAAGGAAAATAGTATTTGCAAATATTCTGCATCAACTTACAATAGGAAGACTAAATCTACTGTTTACTTCTATTGGATATAGTCAAAATATTTTGTAAGGGGGTAAACGAGGCGCTCAAAAATTACGATTTTTTGCAAAAATGTGAAAGGGCTCTTGAGGCGCTTTAGGTAGTCAAGTCACGCAGCACGGCTTTAGGAAAAAGCATGTTACTATATTGGCCATATAAAGGTACATGAAAAGTGTTATAGATATAATAGAAGAATATAAATAGCAATAGGGCTGTTGCTCGATATGAGCAAAGCATATGATAGAGTTAACCACGATATCCTACTTTCTAAATTATATTATGAGACTGGAGTAAGGGTGATGGCACATGATTGGTTCAGGTCTTATATGATTTACATTTACAGTTTGTGGAAATTGAGAGCATTGTGATACAAATTGAGTTTGAATAGAAAATATTAGATCCAGAGAGGTAACTTGCTTTTTCTTTTTTTTTCGATTTATTGTAATTATTTTGGGTACACCTGAAAATTTTATATCTTGCCAAACTGAGAACAGTTTGTGGGCAAGTAACTGTTAGGCTGCGTTTCCACCAGAGATGTGCGAGGATGCATAGCGAAGGATGTGTTTGTAAAGAACCAATAGAATCGCTTCATTTACCTCGCCTCGGTCAGCACAGCTCTGGTGGAAACGGCTCAGCGGAGCTAGATTTTTGCGCATACAAAACAAGCGAGGGATGTGTGCGAGGGTTGTGTACGAGGGATGAGTGCGAGGGATGTGTTGCGAGGAATGTGTGCTGAGAAGGATGTGTTGCGAGGTTTTCGCATACTGTACCAGCCAGTCCATAGACGGAGTTTGTTGGAAGTGGAAGTGCACAAAAAAGATATGGATAATTGGAAAAAGAAGATACTTTTATATTTAACAATTTGCGATGAAGAAATGGAAGCAGAATATAAAGCAACGCATCCTCGCACCACACATTAATGCGCATTTTCACAGCTCCGCTATATATCCTCGTCGGCACATTTCCATCGCACATCTCTGGTGGAAACGCAGCCTTAAGGGCTCTATCCCACAGGGTAGTGTCTTGGAATGTTCCTTATTTTTGGTCTACATACATAATCTACCTAACCAAATAGAGACCCAAAGTATTCTCTGCGCCTATGGCGAAGTCTTTTTGTCTTTTCGATCTTATTTCCTTCCTAAAATGTATCTAAAATGAACATTGCTGGGATATACTGTACTTCCAGGGCCCAAAAGTAAAAACTTCACAGTTTTGTTGGTTGTAATTTCGCAGTTTTGTTAACCACATTATTAAAAAAAATATCACACTCATGCACTGGTAGACATATCAACATTTTTGTGTACTTATACGATTAGGCGTAGGTTTTTTCTTCAGAAAAATGATTAGGCCTCATTTTTTTTTATTTACATGTAATATTTACTTGTACATTATTACAGTGGGTGATTCAAGTGTGATAAGTTGGTCACTACATACGAAACATTATTGTAACTCAGTAAGGAAGCTAAGTGTGTAATGATCAATGCAGACGAGCTGAATATGACGTTTTTCAACACAATTGCGAGGAAAAAACAAACTTGTATTGTTATTGTTATAAAGTTCAACTGACCTTTGTTGCTAAGTATTCTGACATTCCGGAGCTACTCAAAAACTTTTCAAAATCGGTTGTTGATAATACTTTTGACTTTCTGCCAATATATCCATCAGAACGTCTCTTTAGAAATGCCGTCAAGTTACTATATGTTTATAAATCAACTGGCGGCAACAGCCAATGACTCGCGTTTCGAGCCTCGATAAGTATTTCCGGCGGGGTTGAATTAAAATTGCGAAAATATTATTAATAAATAACTAACTTATAATAAAAAAAATAGAACCGATTTCAAAAAAACTGAAAATGAAAAAATAAAATTTACCGACTGCTATATTTGAAGTCGATCGTTATTATTATCATGATCTCTCTGCTAAATACATGCCTTGGTATCGTCTTCAAGTATATCAGGTGGTAAATCTTATTTTTTCATTTTTTTAGGTCAGTTTTATTTTTATTAAAAAATATTTCATTTTAACATTTTTAGTGACATCATACAGAATACGCTACTAGTTGGAAATTGTACACGCGTAGATCCACAAGGGTGAAACCGTGGGACATTGCAAGTAAATTATATACATAAACCATCGCAGATAAATACGCATTTATATGCCGAAAACCCCATCTAATTCGGATCCGTAGCTTTGAAATTATCATGGACACACATACATACAGGTCAAACTGTGAATAACATTTTTTTGAAGTCTTTTAAAAGACCGACTGTGCAGCCGGAACAGCAGCAATATAATAATGGAATAGCTATAAATAAAAGTTTCTTAATACGTTAGTTAAGGTCATTTGTGTTTATAAACATAAAATGAAATGTTTATTTGTCATCTTTACCCTAAAATAACTTTTAAATGATGAAATTAAAAAAAAACACCACAAGTCCATACTTGTTGTTTTAGTTAATATGCTGAATTGTGAAACTAAAAACTTTGTAATTAATAAGAGTAAGTTTACGAGCAAATGTGTTAAAAAAAATGTTATTAAAAATAATAACACAATATTATTTATTGGAATAAAAGGTAGATTACAAAGATAAACGTTGAATAATATAAAACTAGATTAAGTTGAATTGCAAGTTTTAAGTAAGTTTAAATAACAAAGGTTCAATAATTAAATATACTTACAATAAATTCACATTATAAAAATCTCAACCATAGGGACTCGATTCTTGTATACGCGGCAACACCTGAATGACGTTTAAGGTTCATTTTATTTTATGTTGAAATTTCGAAATTTTACTATACTTATTGATATTATGTGATCCCAGCGTCCTTGTTATGTATTGTTGTATTATTTCACAACATAAACTGGCATTTTACTTTCGATTAACACCAAATTTTAATAAAACATCCACTACGTACACCCCATACACAACTGTCAGGTTGACTGGCTCGGTGAAAGCTCGGGTATGCCGATTTCGGCATAGTATTTGTTGCCGCATCATAGTAGCCATACACACTACGAGAAATCGTTACGATTAGACTGTACCGTACGAACGGTACCGATAAATCGTAGCGTGTATGTTATAAAACTGCACAGTTTCCTATACGTACGCCACGTACGATAAACTGTTCCGTTCGAACTGTACAGTCTGATCGTAACGATTTCTCGTAGTGTGTATGGCTAGCATTAGACAAGTACGCCGGCGGTATCTAGTCGAGTGAAGCGAAACCAATCATTTATCTATGCCCTAAACATAAAATGCGAACACTGAATTAGAAATAGTTCTCTTCTTCTTGCAATGGGCGTTTCCGCAACTTGACGTCCATAGAGGCGCCTGTTTTGCGTGAAATTTATAATTAGAAATAGTTAATTCAGCAACATTATTAGGAATTGATATGGATAATAAAATAATTTGTAAACCACATATACAGAAATTGTCAAGTATTCCTCTTTTACATATACACTTTATAATATAAAAAAGAAAGTGATTTTAAGACGGCTTTGACCGTTCCGACCGACATATGTTACGCATATATCCATTCAAGATTATCAGAATTATCTTGTGGGGAAATTGTACTGACATAGAAAACGTTTAAATCTAAGGAAAAGTTTTACTAGAAAAGGGTGCGGGTTCGAGTCCCGTCCGCTGCCTGGTCCGCGTGGATTTTTTTCTAGTAAAACTTTTTTTTAGATTTAACACATCTAGCAGTTAAATGCTTAAAAATAAATAAAAACATAACTATAATTGCTATTTCTTCTTTCAAATGTTTAATACTTGAAAAAGTATTCATTTGATATTGTGGGTTACCTACAATACGAAGAGATGGCGCTACCTTGCAGCTTAAGGCTAGGAAAAATTCGACGCGGCCAATAGGGCAGTGGTAGCATAATGGTCAGTGCATTCGATTTTTTTCTAGATTCCTTAGATTTAAACATCTAGCAGTTAAATGCTTAAAAATAAATAAACATAACTATAGAAAACGTTTTCATTTTAGAGAAAAAATATATTAGAATTTAAAAAAATTTGGGCAAAAAGAATCCCGTTAAAAAAATATTCAAAACTAACATTAACATCAATTTACATCCTCGAAACATGCAAATTTGTAAGGAAATATTTATTCTCCCCTGTTATATTTAAAATGGAAAAGAAAAACAACAGCGATGAAAACAAAAATAAATTGGATCTCTCTAATGCCAGCACTTCACTTAGCTATTCGTATTGGCTGTTTGTAAATTTGACAGGAGTCTGTCCTTATCAAGCTTAACGCGGAATGAAAAGGACAGACTGATGTCAAGTTGAAGTTTGCATATAGCAAACACGAATATCCAAATTAAGTGCCTGCATAACATAACCCCTGACAAGGAATAGATCACAGACTATTAAATGCTTACGCATGAAAAGCTCAAGTTTTCCTGCCACCCTGTATTATAATTATTTTGCATAGGTATTTCAACGTGAAATAAGTGAATTACTTTATTAATTTTTAATATTCTAATAAAACTTTATTAGCTTGGGAACACAAACACGCAAATTCACGTTATCCGTCATGTGGGCAATATACCTGCATCATAAATCTATTATAATACCGCGACCCCAATAATTAGTGTCCGATTCCAAAAGATCCACTCTTATTGAATATGCCCCGAAGCATTAGGAGCATCCTCAAACGTCAACAGATGTCTGTGCAATGCAGAAAACAGGGGGGCAATCGCCTAACAAGATCTGGCTTTCGCTATCGCTAATGATTTCATTTTGTTATTTCTGGCTGCCTAAGGTTTTCAAATACCTCACGTTCATTTTCTTTGAAGATAATAAAAAATTTCTTTGTCAATTGACTGTATGATTATGTAAACCTTCGCTTTTGTATTGATAATTTAAAAAAATGCCTACTGACATAATTGACATCGACAGTTCCTAGTGACATTTGATTGTCATTTTTCTCGTCCAATGATTTGAACAATTCATGTGAAAATTAATAGTTTCGTGATTTATTACCTTTATTAATATCATTATTGAGATCTACTACCAATATGTCAGTAGAAAATTCACCAGTAAAGCCTTCCAGGTCTCCCAGCGTCGCAGAAACTTTAGAGATCTTCGAAAACCAGGTGTGTTGTGATTGCTTGCTACGCCTACTTTATGTTTTATTTATTGCTGATAATGGTAATAATAATCGTTTGCATTTCAGGATACGTTGTTAAAACATGTTGACATATCAATAGTGGAGTCTGAGAAGCGAGCCAACGGCACTCTTCATGTACGTGATCATTATACAGTGTATCTAATCGATCTCAAGTGAGTAATATCATTCTATTGTTTTCTTGGCCAATTATTACCTCTTATACGCCTATTATCATTACTTTACATGTTTTAATATGTTACTGTCAACCACATCTTTCTTAAATGATCTCTTTTCACTGGCTTAAGGCTGATTTACGCTGAGGCAAAAACATGCTATGGTGACTCGTGCTACTTTACGAATGTGGCATGGGTCATCTAGTGGTATGCTACTAACAGAAATATTTTGCTGCATTTGTGACATGAGGCAGTCTATTTTATGTCAAAGGCTAGATAATTTTCAAAGAACTGTGGTGTAAAATATTAAATTATGAGAGTGTCATGGTTTACCTACTTGATAGATTGATGGTAGAATATGGCTTAACAAGTATCTAAATTATATTTTTGTTCAAGACTAAGTACAACAACTCTTTTCACTCTATTCATGCTTGCTTACAGGGTAACAGACCTGGAATATAAACTAGTCCAATCCAAGATCAGCACAATATGGAGAAGATATACTGAGTTTGAACAAATACATGATTATCTTCTAGTCACTTACCCACATGTAGTTATCCCTCCACTACCAGAAAAAAGAGTAAGTACTTATAACTTTAAGAAAATTGTTATTGATCCTGATCCGTTCTATGAAATATAAAAACAATTTATCTAATGTTTTTCATCTTATATTTGCAAAGTTGGTAGAATAGCATAATGTGTATTATGTTTTATTATTATAATACTGATTGTTTTGCAAATATTTTAATTTAACAAAAATTATGATTTTCTGCTCTCACATTTATATATTCACCAACATTTATTAATGTAAAAATTCCTTCAAACTTTTTTCACTTCTCTAAATCACAATATCCACCTGTATATCATTTAAAGTTCATAGATAAATAATTTAAACCCTTAATTATTAAGGGTAAGATAATCACTCTGATCAAAATTGGGTAAATCTGTCATCCAACACAGGTTTACTCTCCTCTATATAATATTCCAACACACATAAAAATCGATATTCAGGTGCTTTATGCATGGAGAAAATCAGATACCACAGACCCTGAATTTGTGGAGCGCAGAAGAGCCGGTCTAGAGAACTTCTTGCTTCGTGTTGCTTCACATCCACGTCTTTGCTTCGATGATCAATTCATAAACTTCCTGCAGCAAGAACATGGCTGGCGGGAAACTATTACAGACAGTGGTTAGTGCACATATAAAATTACTAACCATTTTCTATATCGGACAAAACCTAGTGGCATTAAATCTTTTTGAAATGAAATTTTATTATTTTTTTGTATAAATATGGGTACTTTTATTTTTGCAGGTTACAAATTACAAGCTGAAAATAAAATTAAATCACTATCAGTATCCATCAGGCTAAAGAAACCAGATCCAGAGATTGAAAGTGTTAAGAATTATGGAAAACAATTAGAAACCAACTTAGGAAATTTTCTATATACAAGGTATAACACCCCTGTTCTAAACAATTATGTATAGCCCAAGAAACAGACTTATACTTGATCGTAATGCCATTTTACCACACTAATTTTTTTATAGATGTTAGGGTAGGTCATAAGAAGCATAAGTTTAAAAATCGGGGAATATAGGGTGGTTACAACTAGCCATATTGGAAAACGCGATTATCGCTATATCTCCGAAATTATTGACTTTGAATAACTTTTATTACATGTTTTTTATCAATTATGGCATTTTTAAGGTTTCATAAAGGAAAAACTACAAACAAGTTCAAATAAACAACAGCAATTGAAAAACCGTTAAAGGTTACAGTAAAAATAATTTAACAAAAAAGGTTAGGGAATTTAGTAATAAACAAAAAAAAGAACTATATTTTTTCCGTAAAGTCAATAATTTCAGAGATATAGGGATAAATGCGTTTTCCAATACGGCGGCGGCCAGTTGTCACCACCTATCCTACCTTCCCTGATTTTTAAACTTAAGCTTCTTACAATCTACTCTAACATCTGTAAAAAAAACTAGTGTGGTAAATTTAGTTATTTTATTTTACTCTATTGCTTTCTAGTAATATTAGTTGGATGTAATGTTATTTAACTATTTTATTTCTTCCATTATCAGATCTAAGATAATGGAGAAGAACTATGCATTATGCAAACTTCACGCAAACTATGGTAAACTATTCAGTGAATGGAGTGTCATAGAGAAAGAGATGGGTGATGGGCTACAAAAAGCAGGCCACTATTTTGGTAAGTATGTTAAAATATACATGATAAAAGTTTGGAACTTAAAATTCAGATACTTAACTTTGTCCAATACAAAACAAAAACAATGAAGAAAAATAATTTCCGATCAATATACTTAATCAAAGTCAGTGGGGTCTATCCAAAGCATGGTTTTAGATGGTAGTAGTATATTTTACATTAAAACTCTTAGAAATAATTTATTAACATTAAAGTCTAAATTCAATACTCTTTCACTTCTTAATTCTAGTGCATACCATTTGAAAATTTATTATTCAAATTCTCTTGCTTCTGAACAAAGGCCTCCCCAAGAGCCTACCATGTGGTTCTCCTCTGCTCTCATCTACTTAACTCCTGCCACTGTCGTATAACAATTTACATACAACATTACAATCGGAAAAACACACAGTACCATTTGTTTGGAAGTTAATTTCATGTGTAATTTGTTAACGGAAATATTTTAGCATACAAAAAAAATAAATAAAAAGTACTTTTTATTTATTTTAAATACATTCGATATAAAAAAAATAACTAAACAGATTGGAAACCAATATCTATGTCAGTGAGTAAAAGATTCAAAATTCAATATCGTTTATTCAGTCTAGGCTGTTACAAGCACTTGTGAATGTCGAAAAGCTACGCCATCGGTTCGCAAATCTACGGCGGGAGACCTTGTACTGAGAAGAACCGGCAAGAAACTCAGCAAGGGCTGTTTTTTTCTCCCTGTATTGTATACAGAGTCATCAAATTGAAAAATGACTTCAATATGAGGTAACTCATAAAGTCACTTTCCAATACAAATGCTAATACACACATCAAAAGTGTCTAGGGATCAAGCATTTTTATGCGGATTTCTTGAGATTGAGATGTGGCTTTGTAATAAATTTATGATTTTATAAATTTATATGGATCCTTTTTGGTGCATTTCATAATTTGAATCAGGAACTGTGAATCAAATTCGAGTAAAAGATGAAAATCAGCTGTCAATATTTTCCCTATAAAAACATACAACGCATTGAAGACATTATTAGTGCTACTGTTTCCCTACTACTGATTAAAACCAACGTTATTATGGAGCGGCGACGTCATTTAAGCAGGGAAGAAATGCTCAGAGCCGTGGGAATGATAGAAGCTGGTTCCCGGCAACGTACTGTGGCTTTAGCTCTGAATACAAGTCAGAGTGTTATCAGTCGACTTTGGACACGATACCGAAGCACTGGTACCGTGGCTGAGCGCCATGGAGGACGGTATCGCTGCACCACACGGAGACAAGACCGATACATTCAAATCTTAACTCGAAGAGCTCCAACAATAACCGCCATGATGTTAGCCGTGAGGCTTCATCACTCTTCAGGGAACTTAATTAGCGACCAAACAGTCAGAAACCGCTTGCATGAAGTGAACCTTCACTCCCGAAGACCGCTACGGGTACCACCTATAGCAATGCACAATCGTAGGATTCGATATCAATGGGCTCTTGAACACAGAAATTGGGCAGAAGAACAATGGCGTTTCGTGTGCTTTTCTGATGAGTCTCGTTTTGGTATGAGACCGGATACAAGACGTATACGACACTGGAGAACCCCTGGACGCCAACAGCGATTAAAATCCTGCCAGGAAGTCCATCCTTATAGTGGTGGAACCATCATGGTATGGGCGGGTATTTGGATCGGCGGAAGAACTGAGTTGATTTGGATCAGAGGCAACCTCAACGCTCAAATTTATGCTGAGACGATTGTATCAGACGTCATCGTTCCTCTACAAGTGCAAATCGGTCCCTTATTTCAGTTAATGCATGATAATGCACGACCGCACACCGCAAGAGTTGTAAGACAGACTCTCGCCGCAGCTAACATCAATGTCCTGCCCTGGCCTGCTCAGTCGCCAGACTTGAACCCGATTGAGCATGCATGGGATATGCTACAGAGAAGAGCTCTGCCGAATATGGAGGGTATCCAGTCGCAAGAAGACCTTTTTTTGTTGTTGCAACGAACATGGGCGGCCATTCCACAGCGTGATTTGGATGAACTCATTTTGAGTATGCCAAACCGATGTTCTTGTGTTGTTAGTGTTCGCGGTAGAAATACGGATTATTAATTGTTTAAGTTACCCAATAAAATTTTAGAGAAAACTGTTATTTCAGTCTTTTTTTCGAACTTTTGTGTTAGTGGTTCAAATGTCAAAAATCCCTTTATTAGGAAAATGGCAAATTTCTTTATTAATGCAAAGGTGACTTGGTTTATCGTTACTGTGACAAACGAAAACACTTTATTTGATGAATCCTTAAAGAAAATTTTAATTAATATCAATCAGGAGAAAAGTTATTGCAAAAATATATGTTGATCCCTAGACACTTTTGATGTGTGTATAATAAAAATTATGACTATATAAAAAACTGGTTTAACAAAGTTTAGGAATGCCGTGTCCTGTTGTTTAGGCAAAAAAAAAATGAACGATTAGAGATTAGTGCAACGGTTAATAGTATCCAATGAAGCAAGAGCAGACTCATCTCCGCTGGCAGCACCCGTTCACGAGCATGACGCATGAACCAGCCATCGCTTCGCTCAACCATTTTTTAGGGAACGCAACGACCCGCCTCACACGACACCACCGAAGAGATTTTTAAGAGAGCATGACTACTCATAACCACACATGGATACTATGTTACAAAGATAGAAAAAAAAATATAAGTACCAGAGTACATAACAAATTATAAACATAACGGCAGGACACATGCATGTTTACCCAACACTGTTGTCGATTCTGGCACTACTCTCCCAACCCAAAACCAAATCCAACATCAGTCCCCCCCTTTCAGTCTGTATAAAGAATGACAAGGATACACCGCTGCAAAACCAAGTTCAGGTCTAGAAAACCATACCAGAATCCACACCGCCATTAAATCTTTATCAGATAAATAATAAATGTTCACTTACATTTTGATTGCTGTGTCATACAGTATAAATACAAGTTGTGTAATGTAAAATACAATCTAAATTTAATAATAATTATCATTACAATAATAAAGTAGTATAGAGCAGACTCATCTCCGCTGGCAGCACCTGTTCACGAGCATGACGCATGAACCAGCCATCGCTTCGCTCAACCATATTTTAGGGAACGCAACGACCCGCCTCACACGACACCGCCGAAGAGATTTTTAAGAGAGCATGACTGCCAATAACCACTCAAACCAAACGATCTCAAATGAAACTCAAACCAGATCGAATATGTAACGTCTTATATTTTATATTGAATATGTAACGTCTTACCTTGGACAACTTATATCATTCCAAGACCAGATGGCACAAGAGATTGACAGAAGGATTACAAATTCGTGGAAAAGATATTGGTCCTTAAAGAACATTCACCATAGCATAAAAGTAAAAAGAAAACTTAAATACATGCATGCTGCCAATACTCACATACGGTTGCCAAACTGGGGCCGTGACACAAGTGCTACAAAATAAAATAAAAACCTGTCAGAGAAGCATGGAAAGAAGCATCATAGGGAATCACCGGTAAGATAAGAAGAGGGCCCCTGACATTAGGAAACTCACTAAGTTCGAAGGCGTAGTACTAAAAATCAGACATCTAAAATGGCGGTGGGTTGGCCACACAATAGGAGAAATGTGGGAGAAGTGGACAAGGAAAACGACAGTATGGACCCCAAGATTCAATACTAAATGAAAATGCGGAAGACCACTCAAAAGGTGATCAGATGACATAAGAACGGTAGCAGGAATCTTATGGCTTAGAGTGGCTAGAGACAGATCTGAGTAGAAGAAACTGGAGGAGGCCTATGTGGCAGCAGGACACGCTGATATGGTTAATGATGTGTATAAGCTTTTAAGTATTCAAGCTGTATGTATATCAGCAATAAAGGCTTTTGAATTTGGAATTTGAATAACAAATTAAGTCATTATAGGGAATTATGAATAAGACGTCCTCTCCTCTTGCAATTGCGATACCCTACAGGGTCACTAATGTTTTTTTTATCTGTTTATAATTACCACCTTCGTATCTCCATTATGGTCTGCAATAAATGTTGATTTGAATTTCTCGTTCGATTAGTTCGCGCCGAAAATTTCATACAAAATACCTCCCGTTACAAAGTGGCCCCAACTGGTGATGTAAATTTTCATATACGTCTATATTCAAAAACAATGATGATATGCTCCAACTGGAGATAGTAGAAAGTACCCACCACTATCCAATCCTTACATTTTTTCTGTTTTCGTAGATTCTATAGCTGACAGCATAGACTCAGTGGCAGAAGACGAGGAACAGCTGGCAGATCAGCTCAAAGAATACTTGTTCTACGCGAGCGCGCTGCAGCAGCTGTGCTCCAACCACGAGGGATTGCAACGAGCGCTGGAAAACGCACACGATACTCTCAACAACAGGTAAATACAACGTTTAACAACATGTAACTACGTATAATCATGTATATTGATTTTGTAATGATGTGTACCATAAATGGTGCACCTATACGGCCGCACCTTCAAGACTTTAAAAAGCCCTTTTAATAACGGAGTAACTTGTTAACAGTACTGCATTGTACACGCGTTTTCTAATAAAAATATAATTAAACTTTTCATATGGTTTTAATTTTGACTAAATAAAAATAGTTACTACACCAAAAACACAACATGCCCAAACAAGTATTCCCAGACTGCAAAAAATTCAAGAAGTAATTTTTAGAACTGAGTTTCAGCTTCACTTGACGAATATTGTGATTTAGCGAACTATTATTTTTTCCATTATTTAAGAGCCCTTTTACAAAATTGCGCCGCTACCGTACTGATCGGCGCGTAGGTAGATTTGCACTAGTATACATTACATTTACGGGTGATGTTTCGAGTCTTATAAAATAATTACTAATGAACTAATTATAAAAATATATACATATTTCAGTAGTTTAATGATGGTAGATTAGTTTTATGAAAGTTTTTGATAGTAATTCTATATAATTCGATATCAAAATACGAGGTAAACCTGCATTATTTTTTGGGAAAATCACGGAATTTAGATTTTTTTTTTGATAATTAATCAGATGGGAATTCAAAATTCTAATACATTATGTTAAAAGTTGTGCATATTATCGTATTTTCCGTAAACTAGCTGCGGTAGAACGATATCAGTACAAAAAAAGGAAAATAGTATTTGCAAATATTCTACATAAAGTTACAATAGGAAGAATAAATCTACTGTTTACTTATATTGGAAATAGTCAAAATCTTTTCTAAGGGGGTAAACGAGGCGCTCAAAAATTACGATTTTTTTGCAAAAATTTTTCGTTCTCCAAAATCTTACACCACTTCCACCTTACGGAAGACCATACTAAATTAACACTGCCTTTTGGTGGCGTTTTGTTTGTGCTGGTGAGTAGGGTTTCAAGGCTTCGTAGGGTAGGGTACTGGTAATCAAGTTCAAGTAATTTGGCTCACGAAGCTAAGACGAGGATAGCTGGAACAGCACACTTTCTGCCGCATCATCTATCTTCGCGACTAAACTCCACTGCCACTTAACATCAAGTGGGCTGGAATAATTTGTTGCGCTTCATATAAAAAACAATCTTTTACTCGACGAATACCAAATGTGGCCTTGTACAGTAAAGTTTAATGATTTAGAAAGCACTGCAAATGTAAACCAAGTTGTCCTCTGTAGTTTTCTGTAGGCTATTGTTAGTAGGTTGTATAGGCAGTTTGAAATTTGTCTTTGATTTTAATTTGTTTTTTTCTATGACTTTGTCACTCTGAAAACAAACTGAATTGAAAGTTTTCTGAATCAAAAGAATATATTATTATTTATTATTTCAGCTATCTCCGTTTTGTTACAGGTCTTTTTTTTAATTCCTTTGTTTTTATTTAGTTCTGTTTTCTCTTTTTTTTTGTTCTTATGCATACTCCTTTGCATACTTGCTTTTTTGCACGCGGCCTTTTTTTTTGTAAAATTACTTTTATCTAATAGAATATTCTTATTTACTAGAACGCTTATATTATCTTTATAGTATTTTTCCAATTTATTAATATTATAGCTATACGCAAATTTTCCTTTTTCATTATTACATTATTTGTTTACTTATATACTATTTACAAATTAATTTTTACCTTTCTAAGATGTCATTTTGTTCATGTGCCTCTGTAAAGTTGAGGGTACTTAACTCTTAACTAAACAGGCATTTCGATATAAATAAAAAAATCATCTCCCACTACTAAAATCTAGATTCTTGTCTCTCAGAATAGCCGAGCGTAACCGTGCCGCGGCTGGAAAATCCGGCATCATGTCCCGGATATTCGGCACCACCGACCCGGATATTGTTCGGGACCAAACTACACGTGCTCTCGATGCGAAAATACTCGCCGATAAGGAGGCAATAGAGAAGGCGCGTAATGATCTCGAGTAAGTCATTCTCTTTTTTTTCTTAAGATTCTCCCTTTTTAGGGAAGGGTTCTCCCTTTTCCCTCTTGACATTGAATCTTATCTTACTAAAATAGGGTTCCTTTTTCCTTGCAGTGAGTTCACCAAGCAGGCATCTGTAGAAATCGAACATTTCCAAAAGCAAAAGGATAAGGATTTGCATGAATCTCTAGTCAGCTTCATCACGTTACAAGTCAAAGCAGCGAAAAAGGTAATAAATACTTTGCAAAAGCAATAATATGACCACTTTTTAGAACTGTTACAAGTAGTATTGAATATATAGGTACTTTACATGGATATCGTAATATTTTTTCCAGAACCTCCAGGCATGGTCTCAGATTAGGGAATGCCTCCAGAATATGCCCTGAACATAACCAGCAAGAAGTCATTTCACACCAAATGTACCTACATACTTGGTGACAGCAAACGTGCGTTTACCAACGTCTTTCTATGGCACTTTATAAATTCGTAGAATTTTCTAGTTTGATATTTCTATGGGACCGGTAAATTAGCGTGGCTGCTTTAACGCCTCGTATTTATTCATCCTTCAAAGACAAACATAGATATTTTCAGAAACCACATTTTTTCAGGAATCCTTCTATTTCTATAAATTTTCTATGAAATATCTTTAAAGATAGTGTGTATATGAAATTTTTAATGTTAATCTAACTTTGTCATCGTTTTGTGTTCCCATCAGATTGCTTTCCTAACATGCCGAGATTAGGTACTTAAATATATACAATAGGGATGATTACTAATGTCGCAATTACATTTGGTCGTTAGCCCGTATTCGGGTGAACGAAAGACATTACTCGCGACTACACACGCTGTCGGACCGCACCTTTACAGTGGCCAATTTAAAGATGGCTTGAGAGTTGAAATTAGATAACTCCCTTCCAGCTATTTACTATATATTCAATGAATATTTACTCTCAAACAAAATACGAGTATATATTATCTTCTCTAATATAGTTAACCTTTAATACTAACACTTTTCTTAATACCTATGTGCAGTCCTAGAGGTATACTTTATTAATTTAGAAGACCGAAGTTCGAAGATAAATCACTCTTAGACTGCACTAGTCACTTACCCTTTATTAATAAACGAAGAATAAGCTTGGATTAGTCACTATGTTAAATCCTAGGTTCTTGTACTTGCACAAAGCCCTTCCACAGCATAAGCAGAGTTTAAAACAATAAACAAGCCCTCACCGAACAAACCTAGACAAGAAATTTTGGACACAAACACCAGATATTGGCCAAATCCTGAGGGAGCCATCACTGAAGAAATCTTATCTATTTAGTCTCTTTTCATTGAATTACAAATGGCACTTGAGTGATATGAACTAAACACGGTGTAAGTAGAAAAGCTTATTACCTGTTTATTAAGATACGGGGGTTAGTTTTTAGTGCAGTGTATTTCTTCGTAAACAATTTAAAACCAAATAAATTAAACGACACGAAATAGAAACTATTCATTTTAAAGTCTTTGTTACAAGTCGCGGCACGTAACTCTAGCGCTGAACAAAACGCGGAGGGTATAGCTGCGCATGGGTACGACTGGAAAGTAAATCGGCGCAACGATCCCCCACGACAACGGCTAACTAGAGCCGAGGTTCGAGTCTCAGAGACGCCCTCTAGTTGAGCCAAGCCCCTCAGGTTCAAGTGGTCTAGAGGCTCCAGACGGGGAGGAGACTCCCCGTGGGGAGATGCCATCCGCCTGGAATACCTCTAGAGGCACTCGCCAATTCTCGGCTTGAGGTCCCCTTAGGATCTCGCCGTCCCCAAACCCGGTGACGCTGTAAAGGTCATCTGCGACCAACAGCAAACACACTCAAAAATAAAACGAGCGAGCCTTATAGTAGTCGCGTATGATGTGTAACATTTAAAACCTCACCTTATATTAGTAACAAAAAGAAATAAAATCTACTACAAAAGGAATAAGCCATTTGAACATTATGTTCTAAAATCAAATCAAATAGCGCGCGATTTCCTCTTTCCTCCATTTCACGAAATCACTCCCACAAATTGCAGGAAAGCGAGAGGAAAGATGTTACACATAAAAAAGGCTCTACGCCACCCCCCCCGCGCGCATCTCGTTTCCCCCCAACACATCTTAATTTTTATTTCTGCGCAATAATGGTCAGCGCTAGAGTTTCATGCCGCTACTTATACTCATGAGTCATGAGAGATTTTTTTACATTTACCATAATTCTATTTACTTAACGTCTATTATATTCTTTATGGAAATAAAAAATATATGCTATATAATACAATTTAAAAGCAATAATATACACAACAACACTAGATACTGAGATAAAAAAAAAATAGTAACTAGCTATTTTGTTTTTTAAATTGCTGTTTAAGATTGCGATATTTTTACTTTAAGTAAATATAAAATTAGCGAGAGTAGTTAGTCTACACTTCAAAAATTCTTAAAACACTATTGTGTATATATTATTAGAATAAATTAAGCTATTTTTAACCAAGATAATTTTTACTATGTGCGAAATTCAGAACTAATAGGGAAGATGCAAATATAATATTTATGAAAATTTTATGATTAAAATGTTAAAAAAATATAAAAGAAAGGCCGCTGCAAGGTTTTTATTTTACATAATGTTGTTTTTTAACAATAATTACAAATTAAAAATGACTTGAAAAAAAATGTATTTTAAAACACCAGCGTTTAGTGACGTCACTCCTGTTATGACAACTTATTAGAGGTTATGGTTGTAAAAGTAAATATTATTTTATGGGAATATTAATTGCGGTTTTAATAAAAATGGAAGTTGGGTTTATCAAAGCAGACTCCAGGAATTTACGAAGAGTTAGTGTTGACATGGTTGTAACTATTTTGGTCCAAAGTGTAGAAATGAAAGGGACTAAATTACTACGGTAAGTTTAAATCATAGTTGTAAAACTTTGTTTTTATATCTGCGGCTTCTACACATAGCAGTTATTTATTACAACAAGAGAATCTTACGGCGATAACGCAATCGGCTATGTCCAAATTAAAAGAGATGGAGAATTATGTACAATAAAAAGTCGAGTTACTCCGGAGCATATAGTAAGTCAAGAAGGTTATCGTGTTATAGTTATTTTAAATGAAACGCAAAGCTTGGTTCAGTCCTGCCAATGTGAAGATTGTGCCACACATTTATACTTTATCCAATGTTCGACGTCATTCTCCAACTGTAAAATTAAAAATATGTTATAGACCGGTTTTGTAAGTATTAGGTAGGTTACTAACGCGTTTTTACGTACAAGTAGATTAATTAAGCATGTAACAAGTATATTCGCCGATTTACGTCAAAGTGATCTTCACAGCATCGAATAATGGTCTTTGGAAAATAATTGTCATTTCTCTTCGCAGCTTGAAACCACTTTTTTCTCAGTTTTGGGTCAATTAAATTAATTCAATCAAAAGTCAAAAACAATTTATTTGGAAACTTTGTTGAAGTAGATGGACACATTTCCACAAAACATGAGTCTACACGGCTTTTTTTCGGAATATTAGTGGTATTGTTATGATCACCTGATGTTGATAGATAGTCCTTTTTAATTTTTACAAAAAAATATCTCGAAGATTGAAAAAATATGCAAAATATGAAAGCCAGCGACGAACAAGTACGACCAGTGACAGACAGGAGTGACGTCATCGGAGCCATAGGTCTGTTTTCCCTGCGAAAATTTAAACTGTCAATTTGAAACCGCATTTTTCCGATAAAATAACAATGTTTTAATTTTTTAATATGTCTGTGGTTTATTCTCCATGGAATTCTTTAAAATGAAAACAAAAATATTGCATCTTCCCTATTATGAATCGCGCATTTTTTTAACATAATTTTCAAATCCTAAATACTGCTTTATTTTATTAAGCAATATTTAATTGTTATATTAATCTTTATGAGTACTTTCCATTGAGTTTAAATTGTACTTGAGCTAGAAACCTTAATAAAGACTACTTAGTTTATTTAAATGGGAAGAATATCGCACTTCTGTGTATATTCTATTCTGTTTCTGTATATTAATTTATTATTGTATAATTTCATATAATTCTTTTTGAATGTAAATAAAAGACATTGTGCCTGCCAGTTTTAAGTCGTATTTTTATAAATTATTATCTGTATATTAGCTAAACATTGCATAACTTAGCAGTAAGTAGTAGGTATATAACTTAAATTATAATTACCAGTAAATTTAATATAATTTATTTTGATTATTTCTAAATAAATGCTTCTGTTTTGTGGATTACCAAAAAAAATCTATTAAATTTTTGTTTTGTACTCACAATTGAACTCGTATTCAAACAGCAGCGTGTAAACTCAGAACCGCTGACAACCTATTTTATTTCTATCGTGTTAAGTTATAGTTAAAGTGTAACATTACTGCAGCGGCCAGCAAAAGAGGCATTGATGGACGAACGTGAAAATGTGGGCCGAGGCGATGCCGAGGCACACATGCGTACGTCCATCAATGCCTAGTTGTGGCCAAGCCTTATATAGTACTTTTCTCAAATAATGCGCTGAAGTTAAAACTAAGTATAACTAAAGGTACATATGCAGAACTTATCCTTTTTACAATGTGAAGAACAACAACACATTTATTTGTTTCTTTTTTCAAAACTCCGCTTTCTATTTGCAAGTCAGTTCGAAATTTAAATACAAGTCTTGATAAGTTACCTCCTTGTTTAGGTACCTTTTTAAAATTACATTTTACAATTTTTTAATAATGAAATTCTTTGCTTCTGTAAATTTGAATTGTTTCAACGATATCACCGGAACGTTTTTGCTGAATTTATTATTTTAACGGTTTGTTAGGAGTTTACTATGTAATTTATTTGGCCGCAAAACACGACTGGGATACTCTCTCCGGCCGCTGCGCACATGTATTGCTATTACAGCAATTCGATTTATCTCGAAGAAGGTTGCCAAAATAATGCTCACATTTCCAAGCATGTTTAAGAAAAAAAAAATATTATTCCACTTATCTACTTGAAAATCTTATACCATATCATGTTACGTGTAAATCTGAACTCTGTAGCTAGTAACAATAAGATTCACTATTGTTTCACTTAATAAATAGTCAGTAAATTTATACGTAAGTATTCATATATTTAAACTATTAATTAATGAATCCGCATGTACGTATTTATTGATTTTATTGTTGTTTTAAGCATGGACGTATAAAAAAAGGGGGACAGAGTTTCGGCTAAGACAATACTGAGGCACCGTAATGGCGGCGGCTATTGATGAGTGAGTGAATTGTAGGGTTGCTAGGTTAGCCAATTTTTTACCAATAAAACACAGTAAATACATGAAAATATTTTGATTGCTCAAAATTTTACTTTTTGCCCGACTGCGGAGGATAATGTTTTTCGAGCGTATGTATGCATGTATGTATGTATGTCCAATAATTTGGCACGCCCTACAGCCTGAACGTCTTGACGGAGTTTGACATGCGAGGTGTCATTTGATTTCTCGTGATTGTGTGAGTGGCACTCGGTATATTAAAATTTCAAAAAATCAAAATAACAGATTTTATGCTCAAAATGAAACATTTTGAAAAAAAAGTATAAGTATTTTTATAACCCGTCAAGCGAGGTATCAAAGTGAAGGGTTTTAAAAGAATATTTAGAAAATATACAACTCGTGTAATTAAAAAATAATGAAATTAAAATGTCGAAAATAAAATAAAAATATACTAAAAAGAAAAAAACAAGTCCAGTAGTCTAGAATTCTGTTTAATAAGGAACAAAGTTACTTTAATAGTCGGTACTCATTAGAAATTCTAGAATGTATCGAATTTTCTCAATATTGGGTAAATCAACTAAATATAGATGGCCTAGTCTGCATTCTCTTTCATATTTCTTAAAACAAACTAACACCCATTGAGTACTGTTTGTAATTGAGGAGTTCCATTGTTTTCCTCCGAAAGTACTCATCAGATCTCCAGTAAATTAATATGCAGCCATCTCGCTAGTAAACTGATTAAAACAAAAAAAGAATCATCATAAACGGTTCACGAATCTCGGAGATCTGCGCGAACAACAATAAAAAAAACAAATATGACGGATTGCGAACCTCTTTCTTTTCGAAGTCGGTTAAAAAATTTAATCAACCTTTTGAGGTAATGCATACGTAATAACACGCCGGAGTCCTCCTTTAGTTGTATATAAGCCTTGAGCTTCAAAATGAAGACTAAAAATGACACTACTACATATTTGTTTGGAAATCATTCATTTTCCAGTAATTTCTCCATACTACATTTTCTTTAGGAAATCTGATAAAAAAGAATAATAAATAATAGATTGAAATTAATGTCAACCCAACTTCCCATATTTTAGGTAATATGGTTACATGAACATTGGCAACACTGGGCTTCAGCCTAATCATTTTGTCCTTAGAATTAAAATTTATTTCGATTTCTAAAAACTAGAAAAAAGTGATTCAATTATTCATTTACCTATGAAACGTGATTCCTGGATTTTTTTTCTTTCGGTCACTACGGTTTTTACACCTTTTTACAAGCAAGATATCTTGTTTAGCTTATTTTTTATCTCCACGAAACGTGTCGGCTGCTTTGACGTTTGCACGCGTAGTGGCTGACTATTGTGTGAATGTATGCGTGCCGGCTTGTACGTACAGCGACTTGGCCGACTCTGAGCGACAGTTTATTGTTTACCGGGACTCTGTCCGCCTTTTTTTATAAGTCCATGGTTTTAAGTATAAGATACGCTAACACGGTGCAATGCTCGCTACCGGTTTTTAAATTTAACGAGCGAAAGTTCGAGAAAACGCAACAGTCTAGAAATTCGGTTAATTATTTTTATTAAATGTAAACTCAATAGGAAAAGCCACCCATAGCTTTATTTCAACGGCATAGAGTGTAAATTTGTAGAATAAATTCTGTCAGCTTTCCTATCTGAGACTTTAAAGAAACCAGTAATTTGTAGTTTCAATAAAACATTGATACTTATTTTGTATTCAAGTATGATTTATTTTTCATTCCTATGTTATTAAGGGTTAGTATTACGTAGTAGAGTGTAGAATTGTTAGAATTTTTTAAATATTTTACTACTTTTGAAATGTATAAAGTTCAAATTACACCACTTTCACATAATCCTATTGTATCCTTAAGGTATAAGTCCGAACTGAACCGCAGACGACAGGCCGCAGCTGCAGACTACAGACGACATTACTAGTTTCTATGAATCTCTATGAAATTGATTCCGTGCGAGGCGACATGCCGCGGCTGCACAATGCATATAATGCACGGTCAGCCGCAGGCGCTAGCCTTAGTGTCGCCTGCGGTTGTCGCATGCAGCCCATTGCGGAATTGTACCTTTATTCAAATGAGATTTTGTGAATTTTGATAAACTGAGCACCGGCCTCATCAGCATCGGCTAATTATCGAAGTCTTTGAAAGGTTTCTTAAATTCTATTGGGGCAGTTCATGCAGAAACATAAAAAATAAAAACCCTCTACATTACACAGAAGGACACACTTACCCCCAACTGCGGGCCACAAACAAAGTTCAATTTCGTATCGCCATCCCAAACCGTGCGCACCTTTTCTTATCTCTTGTTGTCTCTTGAGCAGATATTTTTGAAGTCAAACTTCTTGAGGCACGCTTGACTTGGGGGGTATACTGGCGAATGTGTGACTATTTTTGAGTTACGCGCGTAACGGTGACTCATCGGTAAACAATGAACAATTTAAACTAGTCACAAAATACATGATCTAGTGCTTGTTGGGTGATAACGGACCCAGTGCGAATTGGTGGATGATAACGGACCCAGCGCGGATTGGTACCTTGGTGATAACGGACCCAGTGCGGATTGGTGGATGATAACGGACCCAGCGCGGATTGGTACCTTGGTGATAACGGACCCAGTGCGGATTGGTGGGTGATAATGGACCCAGTGCAGATTGGAGGGTGATAACGGACCCAGCGCGGATTGGTGGGTGATAATGGACCCAGTGCAGATTGGAAGGTGATAACGGACCCTGCGCCGATTGGTGGGCGATAATGGACCCAGTGCGGATTGGAGGGTGATATCGGACCCAGTGCGGATTAGTGGGTGACAATGAACCCAGTGCGGATTTGTGGGTGATAACGGACCCAGCGCGGATCGGAGGATGATAACGGACCCAGTGCGGATTGGCGGATAATAACGTACCCAGCGCGAATTAGTGGGTGACAACGGACCCAGCGCGGATTGGTGGTTTTTTTTCTATTAACAAATCTTCAGTTTAAGTTAATGATTTTCAGATCACTGGAGCTAAAGAAGTTTCACTTCAGTCGTGTGGTCATAAGCACACTCGCTTTTTTTGTTAGGTAAAACTTCTTTTCTGAAGGGGTGTAAATAGAAAAATATTATGGAAAAGATGAAGAAACGTAAATGCTTCACGAGCGTCACACGACTATATATATATATACAGTAGGGAACACGAGAACGTACGGGCCATGATTCCTAGATGCACCATCAGGTGATAGTAGGAATTTCGAAATTGCAATGTCAACCCGATGCATTTGGATGCATTTGCCTCAGAATGCAGTTGAATTTTTTCACCACAAACGATGGTCGCTAGCCTCCTGGCATGCTTCTAGATAAGGTCTAGGCATGAATCTCTACAAAAGACTCTCAGGTGTTGCAGAAAGGTAAGAAGATAAACGCGGCAGAGCTAACGAGCCCCTTGGCGCGCAACCTAGTAACGTAACGTCGACCTTAAGGCTAGCGTCAGCGTCTAAATAACAATCTACCGTACCTGAGCAAGGCTTACCTGCGCTCAGACGGTCAGACCTCTGCTAAAAATATTACTTCATCTTAAAACCTTTGTGACCTCTACTCAGCTCATAAGACGTTTTCCTTGTATGCGTATGTGTGCGTGTGTTCATGTGTCGCATACGTACACGAGTGTGACGTCGGTCAAGATGACCGAACATGCGGTGAACAATCTACCGTACCTGAGCAAGGCTTACCTGCGCTCAGACGGTCAGACCTCTGCTAAAAATATTACTTCATCTTAAAACCTTTGTCACCTCTACTCAGCTCATAAGTCGTTTTCCTTGTATGCGTATGTGTGCGTGTGTTCATGTGTCGCATACGTACACGAGTGTGACGTCGGTCTTACACGATCTCCGTATGCTGTAATGTGCAGCGATGCCCGAGACGCACCAATGTTATGTGAAGGATAAACATTATGCAACCTCTGTCGGCCGGGTCACCGTCCTGTTCGGACGGCGAGAATAAGGCAGCAAGTGACACGTTGGTGAAAACCTCTGTCACGTCTCTTATTCTGTGACCATGGTAACCGAACACGTTATCTCGGGATTTACAATAACTACCAGGGCTAGTTGGTACGTGAATTCCAGTGTAATTATTACCTCTTAGCTGGATAACGTAATTGTAACAGTCCTGTTACCACATGAGGATAACGGTAACGAAACAGTATGTATCACCATTTATTAATGTTACTGCTTTACCACAATTATGTCATTGGGAATTCAAGGAAGTTTACGCCACTGTGCGCCATTTGTGGTTGATTAAAAAGGATCGTACACATCCACGTTGTTATGCGCAGCTCCGAAACCCATCATGGCAGAACTTTCAGGCTGTATTATAAAAAGTTGAACAATCCGTTGCTAGCTGAACTTTTTGTATGTTGCGGACGTGGTCTCTGATGGGCTCAAGCCGCCGTTGATACGCTCGAGCGAAATACATGGTTTTTTCTTCAAAGATAGCTCACTCGTCGCAGCTCGTTCCATTGCGTTACCGAGATTTCGATGCAGCCTCGGATAGTCACGTGCGGCACGGTCTTATCGGTAGCTCAATGGTGCGGCCGAGTAGACACGGAGCACCTGATAGGCGTGCAAGTTTCTGCTTGTACGGAGTTTGAAAAAGTTAGCATGTCAACACTTTGTACTCTGCAAACGTATTGGCTACCTTAGGCACAAATTCTACTCCAGTTTGCAAACAAACAACATGTCGTTATTAATTTAATTATGGCGTAAAAATGTATGACTCGCGTTGACCGCGGAATTTACAAAAATAGTTATTGCGCATTCCAATAATAATTACACCATTATTTCTAACAGTTGACGCAAAAATATATTATCCGATCGCAATTTCCCCATTATTGATTAAATTTATTTCAGGATTATTCTCTTTTTATTTTTCCTCAAATTGCGTCATGAGTTTATCCAACTGCAGTGCCTAACTTACAAAAACTCGTATCAGCGGGCCACTATATAACGCCCTTAGGTCCCTCCTGATTTTTATAAGCTCATCGACAGCCGCTCCGTAAACACGTCCTTCCAGAGCAACACCGTGACCCCCGCCGATATCAACGTCGACTTCCTATGTAAGTATCCAGTATTTATTTTAATTACTTTATGCATTTTTATGTACTCCTGCGCATTCCTTTCAGGGAAGGCGGACCTTTTTAACGTCTGACTTTAAGATTTTTTTCTTTTTCATTTACAGTTACTCCATCGTGGATCCCAATGCTCTCCAAAATGAACAGTTTGCTGGTCTTGATGACTTTGGTCCTGATTGCGGACGCGAGGCCAGAACCTATGCCGGTGTTGCCCTGTCGCCCGCAAGACGTGAGTATATCATTTCTACAAACTGATATCACATCCAAGTTTCTTTATAGTGTTGCAACTTCTGAGCAAAGAGTTTAGCGCGTGACCCAACCCTCCGGAACGTTTTGTAAAAGCTTCAACGAAATTAATGTCAATTTTTCAATTTACAGTTCACCGATCCCACGAGGTCCCGCTGCCGATTCGGGCTCCCGGCAGGTGAACACCACGTCGTCAAGAAATCCCGGGTCTTGGGGACCCGAATTGGATTTCTCAGTGGCCCGGACCTGAACACATACTGGTAGTTTTAAACTCCATGAATAGGCTGGACAGTGTTTAAGATGTCGGTTGTGTTTGATCTGTAAACCGTGCGGTTTATAATTTTGCTTATTGTAATGCTTTGTTTTTTTTTTGTACTTTTATAAATAAAGATTATATTGTGCACTACTTGTTGGTATCATTGACATAGCATAAGCTGACGCGACAATGCGTCTAGTAGGTATCCCAACTCACGTATACACCTGATAGGTCGCCATCAGTCCGTTAGCAGGCTGCAGGCGCGTTCAGGGAGTCGCTATCTGCGCTGTAAACACAAACGCTACCAGCAAATAATATACCTATAGGTAGCATTTTTCGCGCTAAGAGCGACTCCCCGAACGTAGCCTGCATGTGCATTGAATGTGCATCGGACTGACGTGCAGGCATAGACGTCACGCTGCAACTTGTGCAACAGTTACTGCACTCTAATGGGTCCAGCGTAACGGCTTAGGAGTTAACATCGTTGTATGATAGAGCATGGCTCGTGATTTCAAAAACACTGGAACTGGATTTGGATTCCTCGGTGGCCTACCAGATCCGAATTAATACTAAAAGATTTTAATTATCACAAGTACCTTAATACTGTTTGAGATAGTCATTACATGTCCTTTGTCACCTGTGCGGTATTTAGGTTCGCTCATTATAGCGATGCTTTTTCTTTGTTTTACTTTTTGAAATAAAAATTATTATGTATACTTGTTGGTTTCATTGACATAGAATGAGCTGACGCGACACCGCGTCCAGTAGGTATCCCAACTCGCGTATGAGCTAAGGTCACGATCGGCGCTCTAGCAAGCTGCATGTGCACTGAATGTGCATCGGACCGACGTGCAGGCATAGACGTCACGCTGCAGCTTGTGCAGCAGTTGCTGCACTCTAATGAGTCGAGCATAACGGGTTAGGAGTTAACATCGATGCATGATGGAGTTGTGTCTCCTGATCTCAAAAATGACACCCCCCGCCACCCCTGACCCCTAATTTTGAAGTTATAGCCCGTACGTTCTCGAGTAACTGACTGTATATATATTTGTGTGTTTGGGATGCATGCGCAGCTCTTCCCGACAAGCAACGAGGGGTAACTCGGCGAAATCGGACACGCTACAAGCGTCACACGCAACAATATATATATATTTATAAAGAAGCT